GCTCGTGCGCGTGCGTGTGCGTGTGCGTGTGCGTGTGCGTGTGTGTGTGTGTGTGCGTGTGCGTGTGCGTGTGCGTGTGCGTGTGCGTGTGCGCGTGCGCGTGCGCGTGCGCGTGCGCGTGCGCGTGCGTGTGCGTGTGCGTGTGCGTGTGCGTGTGTGTGTGTGTGTGCGTGTGCGTGCGCGTGTGCGTGTGCGTGTGCGTGTGTGTGTACATGTTCTGGATGTGTGTGTGTGTATTCTGCCATTCCCGAACCCTGGGCAACGGGCCGAGGTCCGGGAGCCCAGGCCACGAGCGAGCCGAGTCCGTCGAGGCCTGCTGGGAGAGAAGGACGGGCCCCACCGCAGCCAGAGGTAGGTTTAAGTCGGGCCTGTCCCCCTACATGGGGATTTCGACGAAAAATAAAAAACACCCCAAAAATAATCAAAAGGTAGTCCAACTATAGTCGGGTGACTATTTTTGGAGTATTTTTTGTCATGTTGAAGCATTTCGGGGGTATCTTAAATTTTTCGCCGACAATCCCCCTGTAGGGGGACAGGCCCGACCTAAAGGTAGGTCGACAGCCTACTACGCCGCCGCTGGGCGAGCAGCAGGGCGCGCCGCGGCAAAGGAGGATGAGGGGCAGCAAGCGGCGGGCGGGAGGGGGAGAGGAAAGGGGGGGGGGCCTGATGTCTGGGGAGAAGGAGGGACCCGAGCGCAGCCAGAGGTATGCCGACGGCCTGCTACGCCGCAGGGCGAGCAGCAGGGCGCGTTGCGGCAAAGGGCCGACCCCCGACATCCGACGAATTCTTCCTATCCCGGGTCCCACTGGCCCCGACCCCGCCCCAGTACCAGATTTTCGCCACGGATCCGTTTTTGCTTGTCGCGCGGCGCTGCGAGTAGCAAGCGGCGGGAGGAAGAGGCAGGAAGGGAGAGCAACACCAGCGGAGCCAGGGGAAGCTGCAGGCGAACCGCTCAAGTCCTCCTCTGCCTCCTCGTCCTCCACCTCCCCTCGGGCTGGAGCCTCTCACGTGCCCCTCTACCTCGCTCCATCACCGGCGGTGGACAAACATCTCTTTATGACTACCTACCAGACCACCACAACCCAACCCGAAGACCCGATTTTCGGATTGGGGGGGTAAGGGTTCCACGCGTGTTTTTTCGAGGTTTCCCGACCCCCCCCCCACTAGAAATCGATGGTAAATCTGAACCTTCGGGTTGGGTTGGGGTGGCTTGGTGGGTGGTGACTTTAGTAAACCTCCCTTTAGTGAAAACGGCCTGGGACCGAAACCGCCAGACCTGGACCCGCAAAAATGACGGCCGCGACGCCCTCTCGCGAACCGAAAACGGCCAATTCCTTAATCGACGTGTCGGGGTAGGAGGTCTGTCCACCCCCGACATCAGCGTCCCTCTCCAGCTCCCCTCCCCCCTCCGCTCGTGCCCGCACGGACCTGCCCGCCCGGGGCGCCTGCAGGTCGAGAGGAAGGGCGGCCATGGCACCTCCCTCCAGGGGGCCGCCGAGGAGTCCACACGACGCGGGTCGCTCCTGGCGGCGCACGCTGCCAGGCGGCCTCGCTGTGGGTCGCTGCAGCATCGGAGCACGCGTGCTGCGCAGCGGAAGGGCTGCTCTGCGCAGGCATCCTCGAAATCAGCCTCGCCGCGATGCCGAAGCCGTCCGCGCTGGCGACCCTGTCTGCGGTGACCCGAGGCGCCCGCAACCTCGCGGGAGCGCGCGGCGCGGCGCTGGGCCCCCCGCGGACGACTGACACAGCTGCGGGGCGGCGACAGCCGGCGCACTGGTGGGGGGCCCAGGCGTGAATGAGGGGGCAGCCGCAGTTTTGGCTCAAATTCAAGCCGCTCGACCCTGGCCCTGGTTGGGTTTGGACGCAGACGACGGGGTCGGCTCAAGAGGCCCGGTCCCGGCGCCCGGGCCAGGCGCGCAGGGTGATCCACGTGCGAGGCCGGTGCTGTATGGGCAGCCGCGGCGGTGGGCGCGCGACTGGGCGCGCCGCTTGCGCTGCCAGCGCTGCGGCGAGCCTGCGCCGAAGCGGATCGCTGATGCCGCCCGGGCGGGAGCCCAGCGGGAGCCACGCCTGCGGGACAGGTCCAAGCTGGACGTGCCTGCTGGGCAGCAGCGCCAGCGCGGTGGTGGATAAACGCATGGCGAGGACTCCTGTGCGGCCCTGGTGCAGCGTATGTTGCCTCGCCCCGGGGAGCTGCGGCGCCGCCTGGCGACACTTGATGCCGCCCTCCGGGGCTGGCACTTCGCAGGACGCCTCGGGGGTCGAGCTGAGCCCTGCGCAAAAGGAGCTCCGTACTGGCGCGATCGGCGCACGGCCGCCACGAACTATGGGGCGGCAGCGGATGTTGCAGAGTGCGACCGGCAGATCCACGGCTTGGAGCAAGCTTTTCAAGCATCGCAGCCTTGGGCAACCCGCGTCCAGGCCGCAACGGACTCGCAGAGGGCAGCGGCGGCCAAGCTCAAGTCGAGCAGCGAGGACTTGATGGAGGCGCATCCTGCCGTCATGCACTTCGGGGCCGAGATGGCCAAGGTGCAGGAAGCGCTGCGCCAGGCCGATGCGGCCCTCATGGCGGTGCAGGCAGAGGCGGCTCTTGCACGCCGGCCGCGGACCTCTCCGAGACTGGGGTCGCCGCAGCCTTCGACACGCCCGTGGACGCGGGGCCCGAGGCGGCGGAGGTGAGGTCGCGGCGCTCGTCGAGCAGCTGCTCCGCGCGCTGCCCGGAAGCGCTCGGTGGAGGGCTGGACCTGCTCGGCCTGGCGGCCGAGGTGGGCCACGCCCGCGAGCGGCTCGCCTCGCTCTCTGCTCCGCGGAGCTGGAGCTCGCCCGCCGGAGCGGGCTCGCCTCGCTCACCGACGCGGACCCAGGCAGAAATGCCTGCTGGACCCCTGGCTCAGTCTCCCCTTCTTCGAGCAGGGACCGATCATCCCGGCATTCCTAGAAGGCCTTCCACGACATGTTCTTAGAACCCCTTCTCAAATGTTCTAACAAGACAGAAGCAGAAGCACGATGTGTTAAAACAAGACAGCGCCAGCAAGAGATGTCCTGAGAACATGTCGTGCAAGTCTCCAACGGTTCTTGAAACATTCTTGGGTGGGCCAGGCCAGGACGCTGCGCCACTGCTTGACTTCTGCGCCTCGCGGGGCGCAGCGTGGCAGAGACAAGCTCCGCCGCGCCCCGGCCGCGGGCGGTCCCCTCCAAGAACGGGCCGCCCCGGCGGGGCCGCGCCCGCCACCATGCATCCCTCCTGCTCCTCCCGCCGATCCCCGTCCTGCTCCGTGCCCCGCCTCCCGACGAGCTCGGCCTCGGGAAACCGCTTCCCCGCCCCAGGAGAGTCGAGGGGTCCAGGGGAAGGGGTCGAGAACCCTGGGGGGGGGAGACTTCACGAGAAGAATGCGAGGTCAGAGGAAGAAGGCCTGCTTTCCTCATCCTCCACCACCTCGCCTCGGCCTTCCCGCCAGGGTCCAGGGCTCCGCGCAGGACGTATTGGCCGCCATCGGCCAGCCCCTGCACGATCACCGAGGGCAAGCTCTGCTGCAGCTGATCCAGCCCCTCGGCCGACCGGTCCACGCAGAGGTTGGAGCCTGATCTCCTCCTGCTGCTCCACCTCCCATACTCGTCCACGCTCATCCGTCCTCCCCCGATCCCCCTTCTTCTACGTTCCCCATCCCCTCCTCAACGTCCTTGCTCCGTCTCTCTTCTCCTCCTCATCCATATCCCCCTCCCCCTCGCCCGCCTTCCACACACACATCCATCTTCTCCTACATCTCGTGATTACCCTCGTCGGTCGTCTTCCTCGCTCGTCCTCGTCGATCTCATCCGTTTCGTCCATCTCCATTTTCGCGCCCCTCCTTCTCCTCCTCCTCCTCCTCATCATCATCATCATGATCCTACTTTTCCTTCTACAATTCCTACGTCTCCTCCTCCCCGTGCGTTCCCATTCCGCTCCTCTCTTCGAGTCAACGACGTCTGGATTGGACCATCGCATCCAGACTTCTGGCAACCTCTCGCGGCTGCGGAGAATCCCCTCCTGCTGCTCAGCTTCCTTCGATGGCATCGTCCTTCTCATCCGCCCCAAACACCTCCGCGTGCGGGAGCGCGGGCGTGCGTGCTGGGACAGAGACGAGAAAATTGGAGCCAGGAGGGTAGCACCACACCGGGATGCCCAAGACGATCCGGGCTCGCATCCTCTGCTTCCCGTTGGCGTCGACGGCCACGGCATCGAGCGGACGGAACACGAACACATCGGAGCTGACAGCCTTATCTAATTTGACGCTGCCGTCCAGCTTGATCGAACTGCTCTTCTTGATCACTGGCGGTCTGGAATCGCCTGATGGGAGGTCAAGACCAGTGGGGGGTGGCCAGGTCAGTAACTGCAGCGGGGGCGGGGGGTGAAGATGCCAGCACGGGAGGGCGCTAGGCCGAGGGTGGGTGGGCGTACCAGACTCGAATCAAGGCTTCGGCATTGGTTCATTGAAGGGGGGGGGGGGCTCAAGAGGAAACCCAGACATCCGGCCGTTTCAGAAGAAACCGCCGCCATGAACAAACTCTCGACTGGCCGTCCACGGCACGGAAAGATGAGGGCTAAGGGGGAAACAGGTCCTGGAGCAGGTTCTCCCGTTTCGGGCCTGGGCCCCGGGATCGTCCGAAAACGGCTCAGGGTGGAGAGCTGGTCCGTGGGAGCTCCCAGGAGTCCAGGGCCCGTTTCCCTCGGGACCCCTTCCCTGCATGGCAACCTCCCGAGCCTGTCTCAAGAAGAAAACCCAACGGCATAAGCAGAAGCACTCTCGGACGTCTCCGCAAACCTCCGAAAATTCGCGTGGTTGTATGCGCTGCTCCTCCTACACGGCAGCGCGCACCCCACGAAGCAGTGCCATAGAATGAATTGGGACTGGGAAGTCCGCAGGGTGTCCTGCCGCAGGAGGCAGGCGACGGTCCTCCGAGAGTTTATGCTTACGCACTTGCTGTGACTTGCGGTCCTGGTGCGACATCTCTCCGAGCTGGGCCGATCCGCGGCGGGCTCCCAGGGCAGCCCTGGGACCAGCCCCCCTCCCCCCTTGCAGCGCATGCCCCCGCGGGGGCTGGAGACCGCAGTCGACCGCCCACGCACGCCCCCGCCGCGCGCACCAGAGGCCAGGCAGAAACGCAGAAACGCTCTGAGATGATGATGGTGATGATGGTGGTGGTGATGATGACGACGATGGTGATGGTGATGATGGTGATGATGATGGTGATGATAGTGATGATAGTGATGATGATGATGATGTTGATGATGTCGATGATTATGCTGATGATCGTTATGATAATACTGATGATGATAATGATGATGCTGATGACGTTGATGTTGATGTTGTTATTGTTGATGATGATGATGATGATGATGATCACCATGATGATGGTGATTATGGTGATGATGATGATGCTGATGATGATGGTGACGAAGGTGATGTTCATGGTAATGACGGGGATCATGATGCTGATGTGGATGATGCGCGCCCGAGGCCGAGCAGAACCGCCAGACCTGAGCTGCATCGCATCGCGAGATTGGATCGGATTGGAGACGGATCTGCTCTCGCCCGGATCTGCGCGGAGCCGGATCGTGATCGAACGACTTTAGACTGCAGGTCGAGACCTGGGCCCCTGCAGGCCAAGGAGGGTATTGGCTCTCGCCGTGTCAGATCGGGACCGAGGTCGGATGCGACGTGTTGGGATCGGGCAGGATCGAGATAGGACCGCGACTGGCGGCGCGCACCAGGGGGTGACGCGAGGGGCAGTCCTCACAGAAGCCTGGAGATGGAAGGGTTCTCACAGCCCCTGCCGGCTTCAAAGACGCCTTCTGAAACAAACTCCGGGGCCCTGTTGAATAGGGCCTGCCTCCCTAGAACCGACTCCGCTTGATCAGAGGGCCGCCCCCCCCTCCTGCACGCGCCGCCAACGCGAGCCACCCTGCTCGTAATCAGTCCTTTTCGCGGCGTCCACATCGTCGGGACGAGGCCGCGCGGGTGGCTCCCGGGCCAGAGGCTCCTCTCGAGAGGGGGCAGCTGGAGGCCATCTTGGTGAGCTCCGCGCCCCACGGACGAGGGCGATGGAAGAGAAGGGGGGAGAAGGGAGGAGAAGGAGGGGACGAGGGAGGATGAAGCAGGAAACACGACGGAGGAAGGAGGGGGACGAGGACGCGAGACGAGACGAACCCATGGAACCCACCACTGTCTGGAACGAGCGCCCACTTTGCATGGAATGGTTGACGCTTCGCGAATCCCCGCCAGCCCATCCAGAAACGATGCCCAGAGGAATTGCCTGGATCAGGGAAGTGGGCAGCACACAGAGGAAGCCATTATGAGACATCTTGGGATATCTTGAGCCATCTTGGAGGTCATCTTGGGCTCTCCCAGGCGCTCTTGGAGTCATCTTAATCAGTGCTCCCCCCCAAGAGGCCAACATGTGGCTAAAACCTTTTGTGAAATCAATCATTTGGCATTATCGCCGAGGCCTCTTGGAGCATCTTGTGTGCCTCTGGGGGGTCTCTTGGAGCCTCTTGGGGGTCTCTTGGGGGCCTCCTGGGGGCCTCTTGGGGGCCTCTTGGGGCCATCTTGGGGCCATCTTGGGACCTCTTGGGGCCTCCTGGCCCGGGAGCCACCACAGCTCTCGACCCCCTCCTCGGTGTGGGACGCGGGACGCCGCTCTCGCCGCCACCACGGCTCTCGACCCCTTCCTCGGTGTGGTTGAGAACCTGGGCACGAGGCAGCTTTGGGACGGCGCGGAAACCGCCGAGCACCTCGGCATCCGTGGGGCCGCGTCCTCTGCCCTCGCCAACCCTCCGGTTCCCCTGCCCAGGGACGGGTGGGACAAGGTGATGGACCTGACCGCGCGCCTGGCTACCCTCCCCGGGTCCGCGGAAATTCGGGAGCGTGCGTGGATCCAGTGCGTGGCGTCCAAATGGCGTTGGGCCTCTCCGTTCGTTTGCACGCCTCCCCAGGAGCTCACGCGGCTGACGTTCCGTAGCGTTTCGCGCACGTGCTGCACGTGGTGGTGCCAGCGCAGATGGTGGGCGGAGCGGCTGGCCCTGCACCCGGCCGTCGGGTCTTCCTTGCAGGCGCTGCGGGTTGCGGGAGACTTCCCGGTCTCGCCCCTGTGGCTCTCGTCGGTGGGTCACCATGCCGCTTTATTCGGGCTTCGCCTGGCCCCGCTTGTCCCCCTCCCTGGTGTGTGGCTGGCTGTGGGGGGGCTCGCGGACCCTCGCGCCCAGGCCGCTGTGCGGCGCGCTGCCGTCACTCCCGCCCTCGCCGCTCTCTTGGGGTACCCGGCTCTGGCGGGCGCCTTTGACGCCTCTGGGGGGGCCGGCCAGCACGCCCTCCGGGTCGTGGCTCGATGCCTCCTCCTGCGGCCCCGCCGAGGCGCCCAGCCCCGGAACGACGAGGAGGGGATCGAGGCTATCGACGTCGAGGCGTCCAGCGCGCCTGTGTGGAGGGATTTGCGCCGGAGCCTTAGCCCTCCTTCGCGCACGTTGCTTAGCATTTGGCGGGGGGGGGCCACCTGGACCCCTACGCGGCGGTGGCGGGGCAAGCACGCTCAGGCTTGCCCGTGGTGCCCTGAGCTCCATTGCTCCGCGCGGCACTTATGGGCAGCTTGTCCGCGCTTCGCCGAGGCCCGCTCTCGCCTCAGCGCCGAGTTCCAGATCCCGCCTGCGTGGTGGGCCTCCCAGCCGCGGGTCACGGCGAAATCTGGCTGGATCACTTTTTCGGCCAGACGGTCGACCGAGCGACGCGCCCAGCTGCAGGTCGCAGCGTGCCGCCTCGGTTTTCAGATCCTCCAGGGGCTCCCTGTGCCAACTGAGGTCCCCTGCGCCAGCTCCTCGCTGGCGGCGGCGGCGGCGGTGGTGGCGGCGTGGGGGCCGCCTCCCGGCGGTCTCGGCGGCCCCGGTGGCGACCCAGGCGACGGCGACCCCGGCCCCGACGACGACCTCGACGACGACGTTTTCCCCGACGACGTGGACGACGCCGACCTCTTCTTCCCCAGTGACGGCGGGACTTTCCCCGACGACGGCGGCCCCCCCCACGACCACGGACCCTGCGACGACCTGCCGCCTTTCCCTCCGTCGAAGCGTCGGCGGCATGACGATCACCCGCCCCCCGCTGGTTCCTGTCCCGGTGGTGGTGGTGTTGGGAGTGTGCGCGTCGGTTCGTGCTCATAATTGACGGCGGGCCGTGTGGTCCGCGCGCGCTGACGCCTACGTCGCCGCGCTGGCGGCGGCGCGCCCGTCTCGTTTGGATTTTTCCCAGCGGCCAGGACATAGGCTTCCTGCCGCTTAGCATCGTGTGTGTGGGCCTCCTGGGCGCTTCTTGGGGCCATCTTGGAGGGGATCGACCAAACAAGAGGGGAGTATTACTTAGCGTCCACCCCCAGGAAACCAAAATGGAGCCAAAACCTGAGTAAAACAAGTGATTTGGGCTTCCTCGCCGAGGCCGTTTTGGCATTCTCGCCGAAGCCTCTTGGAGCATCTTGGGTGCCTCTGGGGGGTCTCTTGGGGCCTCTTGGGGGTCTCTTGGGGGCCTCCTGGGGGCTTCTTGAGGACCTCTTGGGGCCATCTTGGGGCCATCTTGCGACCTCTTGGGGCCTCCTGGGCGCTTCTTGGGGCCATCTTGGAGGAGATCTACTAAAGAAGTTCGGAGCATTAATTAGCCTTGCCCCCCCGGGAAGCCAAAATGGGCCAAAGACCATGGTCAAATCAATGATTTTGGCTTCCTAGCCAAAGCCGTTTTGGAAGCTCTGACACCTCGCGCCCCCCCCCCTCCAGGTCCACGGGTAGGGGGTAGGGGGAGGGGTAAGCCCCTCCCCGAAAGGAAAACGCTCCAAACCACCGACGCCCAGAGGGCTGGTGGGATTCTCGGGATGGGTCGCTTCGACCCTCAGGAAGCTCTTCTAATCGATCCGCCGATCTGGAGAGCGAGCTGAGAAGAGCCTCAGCAAGAGCTTCAGCTCTGAGCCCGAGCGAGAGTTTCAGCTCTGCTTGGGGGGGTCGCCAGGGTAGCTCTGCTGGGGAAGGGGGGGGGTGTCCCCCATCTGACGTTTTCTTAATCGTTTGCACATCCCCAAAATGTTTCGGGGGTCCCAAGGCCCCACCTCAAATCTAGCCGCTACCGCCCCCCGGATTCTCCCATCGGAGCCCTCCCCGGACGCCCCCCCCCGGGAAGGGGGCGAGGGGGGAGGGGCGGTCCCCCATCTTGCGTTTTCTTAATGATTTGCACATCCCCAAGATGTTTCGTGGGGGCCCAGGGACCTCCCTCAGATCAAGCTGCTACCGCACCCCGAGACCATCCCCTCGGAACCCTC